GAACTCATTTTACAAACAAAGGAACTGAGGCACAGAAAAGTTATAGAAAATGTTCAAGGCTAGTGAGATTAATGAAGAGGCTCAGAAATTTCTAAAATCTCAGCACACAGATACAGATCAGAGATTGAATGGCCATCCATAGATAGAGCAAGGCTAATCCAGCACCTCCTAAATTTCAGAATGTGTCTACCTAAACCCAGATGTGATACAATCAGACAATCATTTCAAACATCCTGCTGATCCAGTTGACAGTATTTGTCAATAATAAAATGTAAAGAGCTTTTTATTTTGGTGACATAGCTAAACCTTCCATAATAGATAAAAGCCAGCCTGATTTAGGGGGGACCTGAACTGACTATATATTCAACCTAGATGTCGCCATCTCCTAGAGAAAAGCTTTCTTTTAGGAGGGTCCATGGTAGTGATTTCAAACTTCAGTGCAAACAATAACACTAACAGTAATGATAATAAAAATGACTCAATCATTACGGAAGAATCTACTATGTGCCAACCTCCATTGTAAACACTTTACATGTATTAACTTGTTTCATATTTAAAATAATCCTAGGCAGTGGATACTACATTCCCCCTTCACAAAATGGAAAAGTGAGGCACAGAGAGTTTAAGATTTGCCCAAGATCACACAGCTAGAGTAAGACTGTTTAAAGTTCAGAATCCTGGATCCCAATTCCAGAGAATCTAATTTGTTCATTTCAACAGGGGCTCCTGAGTATGCATTTTTAACTATTTTTAACCCAGGGTGGACTGCTAGTCCAACTGCTTCTAGAAGTCTTGCCTGTGCGCTGGACTCTGTAATGCCCAGATGTGCTTGATCTTGACTCCCTGACATCATTAGTTTACTCATCTACACTCCTGGTTGCAGATGACCAGCAAATATTCTTGTAGAATTCAGCCCAAGGCCTGTCAGGCTGAAATCCATGCTTGCACATCCACCTATTTTTAAGAGGGTATATTGCCAATAGATCAAGCACTTGGCAATTTGAAAATGAATGTAATCAGAAGTTACCCAGTAACAGAACCAATTACCCGCCTACTTTGCCATTTTCCTCCTCTGAAGAGCTACTGGCTGAATGTGGCAATTGTGGGTAATTACTGAAGACACTTAACTCTTTGAATATGGCCTTGCTAGTCACTTTCATGATAATTTAAAACAGTGGCATGATGAGGCCCAGGAACCTCCACACAGACATAAAAATTATTGTGTTTATTGTTAATAAATTAAGAATATCTAGAATAAAGACTATCATAATCACAACTCTTCTCTGTTAACTTAAGGATTTTACAGTGTATAAAGTACTTTTGCAAATACAATGGCTCTTCATATTCACAACAATCCACAGTCAACCTTATTACTGTTCCCATTTTGTTGCTGGAAAAAACTGAGGCATCATTCAAGGTTAAAGAAATAGTAAGCTGCCAAGTCAAGATGTGACTCTTTCTGGAGTCATACCAGTTGCCAGCACTGGAAGTAAATGAAGGAAGCCATGTGTATAAACATGTACATTATTATCATAATTATTAAAGCTAATAATAAATTATTAATTATTATTAATAATGCTATTAAAATGTAACTGTTATTGTTATGTACCACTGGCTAGAGTCAGCTAAACTATATAGAATAAAAATGGTTCTGCTACCTAAGTATCTGCAGACCTTTGGCAAAGCTGATTGACTAGTCAACTGCCCACATTAGTACACACTTCTAGAATATAATATGATATATTCAAGCTCTGGTTTCAAGTGTAGGTTTCAGTGGAAAAATAAACCAACCCTGAAGCTTCAGAAGGTCTAGGTTCTAACCTGTCATTATTTGACAAACCATATAACCCCTGCAAGCCTCTGCTGCCATCTGTAAAATGGGTATACAAAGCCCTGCCTTATCCAGCCTCATACAATCATTACAAAGGTCAATAAGAATGTGGACCTGAAAGAAGTCCTCCACAGATCACAGCAAACCACACGGAGGTGCTATTTGTAATCTTGCACAATGATAATTGTCCTGCTTTCAGAAGTGACATCTTTATACTTCAAAAAATCATAAAAAGACAGACTGTTTCTCTTAAGCCAAAAGAGCATACTGAGTCCTGGCTGTCCTTTTGAAATGGATGCTGATGTCAGCTCAATCAGGAAATTATTAACCTCCATTTGGTTACTTAAAATAAACTGTACTGGCTGATTAAATATGCTGAACATTTTCTCCAAGTAAGAGAGCACATCACTTAGAAACCCTTCTCTTTCAGTTATACATTGTAAACAGCAAATGCATCATTCAAAAACTATTTAAAATCAATAATAAAAATCATTTCACTGTATATAAACAAGTTAATGGAGTAAGTGAAAACAAAGCAAATTTCTTAATGAGAGGGCCCTGTTGCCCCCTCTAGGTGCCAGCAGTAAGTGCTGGTTTCTGTAGGATCTCCAGAGGAGACTGCTGTTGCTATTCTGCTAATGAATGACTTACTTAGGCCAGGGGGAAAATGACATCACCAGGGTGGAAAACTGATCTGCATTGGGAAACTTTTTACCTGCTTTACATTTGTCATAATTATTTTGCACAATGCAGCCTGTATTTGCATAATTTTGAGGCGTGTCATTATCTCAATTGAAAATTGTTTTAATATGGCTGAATAATTCACAATGACATCAGCCAAAGTCCTAATGAAATATACAAGTATAATCATACAGCTAATTACCAGCCGTGTTAGCATTAAAAAACAAATCATGCATAATATTAGACGATGTATATGCAGCTGAGGATTATAAATAGAGCCATCTCCCTCCCCAAATCCCCTGGAGTTTACTTTTAAATGGCAAGATTAATTTTCTCAGGTATGGCTCATATAGCAGCACGAAATGCACAAATCATTACAATGGTTTGCTTTCATTTCTCCATAATGAAGAATTTTTTTAAATCGTGTATTTAAAAATACATCTATTCAATATCAGCAGTTCTAACAGATGCAACCTTCCTCTAATATTGGCTTTTATTCTTAGATCGGAATTCACTGTTTAATTACAAGAACAGAAATTAAAACTGTACCTAATGGGGTCTTTAAAAAATATTCCAATTTCAATTCAAAAATTAAAAAAAGAGAGAGTGACCACAAAATATCCCATAAAACACTGAATAATTTCCTTCTGGGTTTAGTCAGAAGTCTATTAGGCACCAGCTCTTTTCTGGATATTTAATCCTTCCCTTTTCCAGATCACAGGCCATGTTGAAGTAATAAATTTGAAAAGCAAATAAGAAATCAGGAGGGGGAGGAGGAGGAAAACAGCTGCGCAGGAAAGTTGGGTCGGGGGAGGGGGCCAAGCTAGACCTTGGGAGGGGGAAAGAGCTCAACCTGTTGGTAGGTTGCAGGATTTTTCACAGTATTTCCAAACAACACTTTTATAAAATTGCAGGCAGACGTCGGGAAACATGAACATTTAAAAGCCAAAGCTGACCAGGGACGGCGGTGGGGGTGGGGGTGGGGTGGGGAGGGAAGGCTTTCTGAGAGGAGGGCGGGGCTTATTTCCGAAGAGGCCGATCCGTAGGCGAAGGTTTTGACTAACTCCCGTAATTAACCGGCAAAGACCACTGATGGGTAATTCGATCCTGGCGAGAGGGAGTGAACTGATGATGCCAAAAGTACAATCAACTCCATCAGACCAAGGAATTCTGGAAGGACTGGCAGACAGCTCGAAGCTCCGGGATGGGTTAAACGGAGAACCATTCATTTAACAAAAAGATCCTTACACCTACCTCGAAAGCTCGAGAGCCTGGCACAGGGCTATCTGCCCTCAAAAGTCTCTGTTTGATTACCCTGCTCTCGCTTGGGCAACACAAAGCCTTGCCAGGAAACGGTGCGCCCTCCCTCCCCGCGGCGCATTGGACACAGACTCCCCAAAATAGTCCCCCTGGTAGGTAGCACGGGCGCTGAGGTCGGTCTGCTGACACCCGGAGCCCGCAGAACTGCGGTCACACAAGAAAATGACGGAGCCGAAGGGAGGCGGCTGCCCGGCGCCGGGTGACAGCGGGCTCACCTCGGGCGTCCTCCAGGGAGTGCGGCGAGCGCTCCGCGGCCTCCCAGAAACGTGCCGGGGAGTCTCGGTCCCTCCCCACACTCCCCGGGAGCGCGGTCTGGGCACGGAGAACGCGGAACCCACAGGGTCGGTGGGCGAGCACACACCCCTCTGCCCTTCCCTTCCCGGTCCCCGTCCCACACATCCCCACAGATCGCGCTGGAGGACGTCCACTTGGCGTGGAGTAACTGAAAACTAGAACATCAAATGGCTTGTCCGAGGGGGAGGAGGTGGGGGCGAGAGATAGTTGTTAATGCTTAACGTGTTTGTGCCGGTTACACGACCGCTTTGAAATCCGCCCGGGCAGATCTGCAAGTTATTTGAATGTATTATTCCAGTACCTGTCATTTATCACTTTATTCAACACGTCTTTGCCAACTCAATAGCTTTTGATCTCACTCTGCCTCCATTTCGTAATTTCCGCCCTCTTAAACATATCAAATACTTACTTAAAAAAAAAAAACCAAAAACGTGAACAATATCGAAACCTACCGAAAGAAATCCACCCAGCCAAGACCGAGCCAGACGCGAAGGTAAATTTTCAAAAGGCAAAAAATATAAAAAGCATGTGATGTTCAAGGGGCAGTAGCAGGAAAGCAAGGGAACACACACACGCGCGCGCGCGCGCGCACACACACACACACACACACACACATTCTTGAACAAAACCCTTCTCGAACAAGTTATTTGATCTTGACTAAAATCAGCAGTTGGATCCTCTTTGTAAAGCTGACAGCCAAACTCTGACAATGGCAAAATACTAGAGCCCCAGCTAGTGGCGCTACCCCTTTAAAAAAGGAGTCGATCCTGCTCGCCTGCAGAAGTGAATACAGTATTTTCAAGCTTGCCCTGTAATAAGCATTACTGGGGAAAAAATAATAAAGAAAGAAGAGAGGGAGATATAAGTTTACCACCTCGCCATGGTCGCTATTTCTGCCCTGGGGAGTATCTTCTGGGAGGAAATAAAGTTTAGAGCTGGATAAAAGTTGCCGGCTGGTCCTCTCTTCCCACAACAGCTGGAGCTCCGCTATGCAAATCGGATCCTTTGGCGTACATCTTACAAAGAAAAAGTCGCCAAGGGACAAAATTCTTGGTTTGCCTTCAAGGTGGAATTGAAAAGCCTTGTAGAAAATGTAAGGTCCGTGCAAGCCACACGGTGAGCCGACCCACTGCAGGGGGGAAAAAAAGCACCAAATAAATAACGTAGCCATCAGAGCACAAACATCTATTTCCAGACACATTTATACACAGACATCCACACTCTTAATACAGAAGATCCAACAGATATAAAGCTGGGTGTAAAAATAATAGAGCCCACAAATTTTTTTGCCTCCCTTAAAACCCTCCGCCCCCCTCCCCCCACCGCCACCTCTCCCTACCTCTCCATCTGAGGCGGTAAAATTACATTATGTATGTATGATCAGTATAGGGATTTTTTTTTAAACAATAAAAATGATTTGGGGAGATGCAGAGGGTAAAAGTTTGGTGAAAAGTTTGTGGGGGGTGTGGGTGGGTGTAGAGGTGTGGGTGAGCTGGGGGGGCTGGAGGGTGCCGGGGGGTGCCGGGATCGGAGGAGCGGAGGAGAGCGAAATACCTGGAGTGAGTTGGGCTCCATCTCGACGTTCTGAATTGATTGAACTCAACATTCTCTCCAAACTTGTTGGCTTGAATGGATTGCATCAGGTCCTGGCAGGGAAAAACATTCTCTGTCTTCAGCCGGCGTAATGTCTCAATATAAAACTGAGTTCTTCCCCCGCCTTCGGCACAAAAATGATTGAAAATATGTCCTAATATTTCTCTGACTACTCAATTTTCAGCTCCTGTCAAAACTGTACAGATTTCCCTCCAAATGTGTGTTGATCAAATTCATAACCGGGAGAAAGGGTCCTTCCGATCTCGGCGGGAAGCGGATGGATCGAGGCAAAAAACATATAGGAACGTTTGTAAAAATAAAATCCACCCTAAAACTGTATGAAGATGAGATCTCCCTCTTCCCAATCTCTGTTGTCTATGGGTGTCGTATGATGAGATTTTTGGAGGAGACGAGAGTTGGCGAGCTTCGCTGTGCATCTGACAGGACCTGCTTGTATATGTCTAATATAAAGAACATTTCCTGCAGAGATTCCGGGGCGCTGCTCCTCTTTCTAATGCTCCTTAGCAGATTTGCTGTTATTAGACATGTAGATTTGTTTGATAGTTAAATTACGCTTCCTCACTGCCATGTTTTCGAGAACTAATCTGTTAAATTATCTTTTGATGCCTATTTACATGGTAGGGAAAAGTGGGTTATCGATTATATAAACATATAAATATTAATGCATTTGTTCGCTTCGCAAAAAATACTCAGCAATAAATAAATAAATAAATAAATAAATAAACGAACAGAAAGACGAGTGAGCAGTGCACACACATCTCAGGATTTTGCAAACAATATTGAAAGGACACCGACTGCATTTAGGGACTGGAACAATAAACGATGCATGATAAATCAATAAATGCAAGCAGCGAGTCTGCTCGGAATATGAATTCAGGCTCCCAGTTCTGCGTGTGCATTCTTTAATTTTGAAGTATATACACTAGTACGTGTTTACAATGCTGATGGACGCCAAGGGCGCTCTCAAATGATAATGTGTTTATATAACCCAGCGCTACAGGAATAATATACCGACTCCTACCCCACCCCCACTCCCTCCCTCGCCAAAAAAGGGAGGGGAGCTTCCTCAATAATAGTTTGAAACTGAAAAATCCATTTGCAAACTAGTTAAATACAACCAGAAATTAAGCTGTTGAAAACTGGGGGCATGAACCGTAAGACAATAAAGGCTTTAAATGTGTATATTTATTGTTCTGGAGCTCTGGAGAATTGTGAGGTTTGCATGCACGGCTATTATGCAAACACAGAGAAACTTAAGAGCGACAGAACAAGGAACAGGCAGAGACTGCAAAGCCCTCGCTCGCTCCGACCCAGCTGCCGGTCCTCCGCCAGGCTAGATTGCATTTTCGCAGTGTTGATGTAAAATGGTGTACTCGCTTCCCCCACGCTCCCCCCACCCCCTTCCGCGCTCTCCTCCCACTCCTTCCAGCACCCCCACCCCCGATGATTTTATTATATTGGCACCAATCTTTCCAAAGTGGGTCTGGCATGGTAAAAAAGTAAACATGTGCTATATGGGGAATAAGGTCTGTATAGTATGACAGTTGAAACTTGATCTGTGATAAAATTACAGGATGTTGAAATTACTAGTAAGCTATTTTTAACGCTTTCGCAACGTTTCACCTCTAGTCACAGCATCTAGTTGAAACAGGATTACTTTAATGAAAATTATATTCACATGGCTGAAGTTAATGCACCCGGCAGAGCACAAATGCCTCATATTCAGTGACTTGAGGTGGAAAGACCCTCTGTGTGTATTTTTATGCCTTTTCATAATGTCTGCGTCCACTGCAGTAAGAATTAGGGCACTTAACATTATCTAAACCACATTTTTGATTCAGAACATGGGGAAGTAATAAAAGGCAAGATCTATCTCTTTTCTATACACACAGAGATAAATGAAAGAAAATGGCAGATCCTCCAATTACAATAAGTAATAAAACCCATGCCAAACAGCCGGTATTCTGAAAGATGTCGAAAACTATTTTAATAATTTAAAGTAATATCACAACTCTGCATCACGAAGGAGAACAATATAACAATTCACAGTCTCCCAGCTTTTGCATTAGCCAAATTATGACTTGCACATCACTCTTTAATTATCTTCCTTGAAATTTCATCTGATCTTTCTATTTTATAAACATGGGTTACAAAGAGAAATTACAGCTCTCCTGCTCTCTCTTTTTCAACTTTAGGATGCATACTGCAGACATTTGATTAGAATAACCTATTTTGTTCATTTTTTAACATATGAATGGACTTGACTGAAGGGCATTTTACATATTTTTTAAATACATGAGAGATGCCTAAGGCTTCAGTAAGTCTGCCCCATTAGCATAAATATATATATTCAGTTCAATTATCCTATATTAAAAAAACTTGAGTTGCAGTATTTTGACAAGATTACATAGAAGATCGCCTCTGAGTCAGTTTCCTGTATGACCAATGCGGCATCATTTATGCACGAAACCTCAACAGAATGCCTGAGGGTATCCCTCAATTGTATGTTAAATTTCTCAAAAAATGCACACTTTTTACAGCATCTAAGCAACTTCTACTGTTTTTGGTGCTATAAGTCTTTAAGTATCTGTAAGGGACTTCATTTAATTAGAAACCCTGTTTCTATGTCTCTTCAAGGTAGGTGCTGAAGTAGGCTGCATGCTGAGTAATCTCTCTTCTCACAAACTCCCGATAAGGTTTTTGTGATGTTAACAATCTAGGTCTGAATATTTTTGAATATCTGCAGTCTTGTAATCAGATGAATGTTAAATTTCAAAACTGAATCACAGGGGTGTCTCCCCTCCCTTTTTACAGCACCACCACCACCATCCCCATGAACATAATAAAATGCAATAAATCAAACCTCGGGTCCAATACTGTGAATGGCTTTAAAAATCATAGATCACAATGGTGTGTGTTTATAAAACAAAACACAACAAAAAAACTCCACCCTCTATTTTGTCTCTTTAATATGATGCTTGATAGGCACCTGTAAATTATCTGTGTAGCAAATATCCATACAAAGAAAGTTTCAATTAAGATAAGGAGTTTGAATTGAAACAGTTCTTTGAAGTAATGTAGTTAATAGCTTGTTTGATTTCTGCTTGTGAGAGAGTAATAACGTGGATTCAAGGCTCCATCAATCACAGAGCAGATGTAAGACTTGAGACACCGACACCCAGGGGAATAGAGGCAAACTCCTGCCGTGCAGGGTCCCTGGGCTAATGTAAAGTAAATACTCATAAACAGATTGAATGTTATAAGAAGACAATTCATTCAGGACAGTTATAATCATGAAAGCAACTGCTTTATTTATCTATTTAAAAAAAGCTTGTATTGGGACTTACTGTATTTAAAAGAGGAGTGGAGAAAAAAAAGCAGTGTATGTTTATATGACTCACTATTTCTGGGCTCTTACATTGAAATATAGGAGCCTATACCCACATATATATTCCTGCTGCTTTGCTTTAAGCTATGTGGCTTATTTAAAAGGTAAAAAATTAAAAATCAGCCTCACCTCTCAAGGGGGTAAGGGAGCAGTGGACACATTATTCAATGTCTATGAATCGTTTCATAAAGGATCAGGAGGATTAAGTTAGCTGCAAAAACCAGCAGTGACATAATTAGGCAGATTGGACTATAATAAACAGGATCATAAAAAAAGTACAGTTTGAAGAAAGAAGGCGACCATTTCGAAAATTTAAACCTCTCTGCGCAACTCTGGGCCTCACACTCCCCCAAATTGCAAAAAACAACTGAAGCATTTTTGACCTTGGCTACAATAATACTTCATGTTTTAGCACTTTAGTCAGCATTTTATCTACTAATTGCTACACACTACCGCATGTGGCTCGAATCTGCCACTGCAGCTTTCTCTCATTGGTGAGCGAATTGCTTGATAAAGACTGGGAATTCAACCTGGCTGTTTCCTTTCTTGCTCCCCCTCGACTGGCCCCCGCCCGCTCTTTTTTTCTTTCTTTTTCCAGCTAGAAGCCGCTAATTTTTCCAGAAAATACCGCATAGATCAGAACAAGGCCGGTGAATGATTCCCTCACGTCCTTCCACCGGTTTAACTCGGATCACTTTGGCGATCCCGAGGCAGAAGGAGGGGGTGAAGGGTGGGGGGCGGGGGGAATGAGTGGGGCGAAGCGCGGGGCGGGTGAATGCTGTTGGTGGATTTGATGCTAGGTGATTCTGCACATTGGTCCTTTGGCTAGTCCATCGTCGTGAGTTCGTTGGACTCCTTAATGCCCACCTGGGGACCTCGAGTTATGGGCTTTCTCCCGTCCTGCTCGGTCAAGAAGTGGGGTTCAAGGGGGTAGCTCCAGAGTGAATTGAAAAGCTAGCACTGTCTGAGGGTCAGCCACAGCCTAGTCCCCTCCCCCTGGCAAGACTGGCGCCATAGTGAGCAGTGGGGGTGGGTGGCGTTATTAATAAGGAGGCCTCCAGCAGAGCAGGCTCGCCAAGTCTTAGTGCAACAAGTCTGTTGGTTTGAAGGATAAACCGGGTTACACGGGTCATTGCTTTTCAGGAGACCTCTAGTGGTCAGAGGTTGAGCTACAACTTAAATTTGGGGCTCCTCCTATTTATCGCCTCTCCTGGACTATAATGGGGGTAACATCTCCAAGTCGGGTCCAGGCAGTAATGGCCCGTGGCCTGGGACATAATTTTTCATGAACTTAAGGCTACAACCAGGAAATAAGCAGAGAACTCCGAGAAATGCACCCTGGGGGAGGGGGTCACGTGATACCCTTTGTGGGCATTGGAGGCCCCAAGTTCCTCTACCCTTAGAGGTGGAGACTTCCTATCTGATCTTGATTTTCCTCCTAGGTCTGAGATTAATAAAATATTCTCAGGGAAGTTGGATTAAATTTGTCCAAGCCATTTCCAGTTACAATAGCAATGCTGAGTCTGTTTTTTCTAATTTGTTTGTAAATTAGACCCAAGACCCACTCCCTCACCCTGATCACAAACATACCCAAACACTCTTTAATTTTAACAATTCCTTGCCTTCAAGTGCCCTTGACATTTATGAGTTATTTAGTTTGGGAATAACTAATCTTTTTTTTCCTTTTAAAAAAATTGCATGCACTGCAGTGGTGTAGAT